TCTCTCTCTCTCTCTCTCTCTCTCTCTCTCTCTCTCTCTCTCTCTCTTTCTAATTTTGTGCGTAACGTAGTATAGTATATTATAATTTTACAGAAAAATATTCCAGCGAACTAATTGTTGATTATCTTGCATAATCGGGATATATTATACGTGTCGATTACATAAAACAAAGAATATAGAATTATTTTTATATACTTTATTTACAAAATTTTCAATATACATACAGTCCCGCATAATGGTCATTAATTTATTTACAATAATTTGCTCACTGACCAATTACAATCGTCATTAAACACCACACAATAGTAAGTAATAATAATTTCAAACGACTCTTTGTAACATTGCACCGGAAATTCTTGTTTATTTATAGTATGTTAAATTATGAGCAAATTAAACATTTGAACACTACTGAACATCATCGAACAGCGTCGTGCGTTACAGCTACATGTAACTGTAACGAATAATGCATAACTATCATTGGGCTTCAAAGCATTTACTATTAAATACAAATAAACTTATTACAGTTACGGATGATTGCGTGTTTTCTTGATTAATGTTAATTTAAATATACAGCACTAAATGAGTTATTGATAAAATACGGTTAACTATATAAGTTGTAATCATTTTTTAAAAATTCAAAGAAACTTTGACACTTTAGAGGCTTCGGTAAAGTCATTAAAAAAAAAAAAAAAAGAAGTGAAGGAATGATTATTTACAAGATTTACATTCAATTTTGGCATTGAGCAACAATTTAAGAATGTCGCCTTTTGAATAAGGATTTGTATGTTTTACCTCATTCTCAATTTAATTAAATCACTGCCAAATGAATTTAATTCCATTTTCTAGAAAATTTACTTTTTCTTTTAGAAAATTCTTGCTAATTCACCAATTTTGCTTAGTAATAATTATGAAGAACTTATGAAAAAAAATGAACTTATCGCTATCGAACTTGGTAAATACGTTTGCATCCTGGAAATTTAATCTGAAATTGAACAACAAGAAATGCGACGTTCTCGACATTTTTCTCGAAATCTATGCTTGTAACCACTATTATAAAAAATTATTTTCATACACGAAGTATACATATTTCGAGTATAATTTTTATTTACCTTTGTTAGATCGAATTGCTCATTTGTCATAATGCGATAAACATTTTCAACGTTTTTATTATTTTCTATAACGAAGCACCCACGAGAATGATATTTAGCACCATTACAGTAAATATTACGGTTGTATTTTAAATGAATCAGTCTTCGTAAGTGTATGACTCCACATCACCGCGCAACAATTCGTTAGAAAAATATTCTATGCTTTTAACCTGGTACATTTGTTTCAGACTAATCAATGGTTTTGAATCTTCGAATTCGTTGACCGCATATCGCATCATAACATACGAACAAAACGCCACAGCACAGTATTTGGAAAACTGTTACTATTTGGAAAAACGACGAGAAATGATCATTTATTTTCGAGGTCGCGCGTCGTGTTCTTCTATACTACTCGCCTCTCAAAAATTTAGAACAGAGGCTTGTATCTTAAATAATAATGCTAACAATAAGTACTAGATTTTAAATAGCTTAAATATGATTTGTGAACAAAGAAGCTTATTGAAACCCAATGGGATCGAAGCGCGTGCCACAAATTGTGACTCAACGACTATCGTTTGTTATCGATGTACAAATCTTTGAACATCCATCGTAATCAACCGCCTTGTCGACATTATTCTACTCTGGTCGATTAAAACAGCGAATTTCTTTTTCGTTGCGTTGCCTTGGGGTTCAGACGCTTAGGGCACGTTTATAAATTATAAAATTGAAATTCCAGGAATTGGCCAGAAACTAATAACAAAATAATAAAAAATCAATTTTGGTTACTAATGTAAGTACTTACATAACTTTCGTAAAATGCTAATACATACATATTTCGCAACTGTCCGGATACTTTTCAGCGATAGTGCTCACGAATAAATGTTTTGTTTACATCTTTATAATAAGAAATTGATTTGGATACGCCAAACCTATCGTTTAATTAAGACAAATTTCTTTAATAGACATAAAGACTGTATGTACGCGTCTGTACATAACAGTCGATACTCAATCTCGATACTCGAACTCTCCGCGGTACCGAAATGATTAAGGAAGCTGAAATCGATATTGTTCGAATAAAAAATTCCCAAAGAAATATCTCCTTTTTAATGTTCTAGAGTAGAAGGCTCCGTTAAGAACAACTCGTTCCCTCGCACGGTTGGCGCGATTTAAAAGAAAGTTTATCCTACGAAGGGGAAAGGTGGATAACCGACCGGCGGGGGATAGTAACCTGGGAAAGCAGCCACGCTCGGTTGCACAGGTACGGTAGTCGTAACATAGGTCGTGACCTCCGTTGGTACCACACGGCTCGAGAATAACGTGGTGTAGGCCGTTTTCGCACCAAAGGTCAACTTGAGTATTTTCGAATCGGACACGGTGGCGAGGACTTGCGTGACCAGAGGAGCGCTCGTCACCGTGAACTGCGGCTGCTGCGGGAATAGAGGTAATTGCGGCGGCAGTTGCGGAGGTAATTGCGGCGGCAAAACCGGTGCAATTGTGGATGTTCCGTATTCGTAAGAGGTACGCGGCACGGTGCCGACTGGCCTGGTTAACGTCGAATAGAGCGTGTTTCCGTTATTCACCACTGGAATTACGTGGGACTCGTAGAGTGTCTCTAGGACGACGACTGGTCGCGACGTGGTGATCACCTGTTGTTGCTGTTGTTGCTGTTGGCCAAAGTACTTCAACAAGGCCAGTTGGTCGGGAGTCAGCTGAGGTTCGATGGAACTGCTGCTCGGTGTTTCGGACTTTACTTTTGAACTTGATATCGATTTGAAAGGCTCCAGGTCGGAGTCCAAGTCGCTACTCGGCGCCACTACTCTCTTCGGGATGTCATCGTCGTCCCTGTCCTCGTCTCCAACGTCCAGCTCTAAGTGGAGCTCGCTTCCTGCTTCGTCTAATTTCGAGTTGAATTCGTTCAACGCTTTGCTGGGAATGAACTGGTAAATATCCATCGGTGGCAGAGTCTTTGTAGCGGTGACCACGCGCGCGATATTGTACGTTTGAACGAGCGTCAACCTGGTCGTGTTACCACCGTGTACCACCGGCAGCAAATGTGTCTTCAGAAGTGTCTGGGTAGTCGAGAATGTCTCTGTTAGAGTTTCCAAAGGCGGTGTCGCTTGGCCAGATTCTAGGGATATAGCTGGAAGGGTTGCTATGGCCGAATCCAACGGCAAAGTTGTCTCGTAAGCTGCCGCGGTGTTCGCCAGAATGTTCTCAGTCAATGGTTCGGTGGGCGATATCGTGGTCGATGGGTCTGCCGTCGAAAAGGACTTTTTTACCGTTGAAGTCACCGTGACGTAGCGCGTGTTTCTCAACGTTCCAACCTACGATTAGAAAACGACACCATAAACGATCGATTAAATTAATGATTGAAATCAACCTTTACGGAATCTTTCTCGAGAATCGCTTTCATTCAAACCATTTTTCTTCTTCTTTTCGTTAAGAATTATTTTCTCATAAATAATAGAAGTTGTTCTTATACGTTCTTCAACGGAATAGGCATCGTTTGAATTGAAGAAGCGACAAATAACTTTTATAGACAATTTCAGACTTTTTCAATTTTAAAGAATCGCAAATAATTACATTCGTAATAACTAGACTGTGGATCTTTGTGCATCTATAGGAGATTCGAATGTGCAAGAACCTACAAAATGCAAACAATACGGAGAAAATATAAAAAAGATTGAAAGTGAAATTCATGTTATAATTGTATTTGCAGAATAAAATAAATTCCTATATATAGATTCAATTTTTGTAGGCACGTTTGCGAAGATTTTATCTTGCATAAAGATCCGCGGTCTAGTAATAACATTCCAAATATAAACTTTTCTAGAAAAATACGGACTATTGTTTCATGAAATCCGGCAGCCACCGTATTTCCCAGATTTCAAATTATTTATAATTGTCATTGATTTACGTTACTTTTAAATTCTCTTTGAATGACAAATTTTAAATAACGAATTTTTACCTGAAAGGTATACGGCGACTTGATGGTAGCGATTTCAAAGTATGCGTTATTAAGATCAGCGGCCGTGGAGATCTCAACGTTGATCGTTTCCAGGGGTAAGACCTGTTCGGAATGCGATTGTTCTTGGACACTGATGCTGGCTACGTCCTCGCTTTCGCTTGGGTCCAGCTCGTCATCGGCGGCGACCTCTTGGATTTTTCTTTGGGCGTTTACTGCTTGGCCTGACGTAGACACGGTTGTCGTTGATGTCGATACGGAAGCTGCGGTAGCTTTGTTGTCATCGAGATTTATCGGTGCCTCGGTGGTACTAGTTTCAGACGTGGAACGCTGATCGTCGTCGTCGACTTGCTTCCGAATGATCACTCTCGGTTTAGGGGTAGTTTTGTAAGACCAACGACCCTGTGTTCTCGGTAGCTTCAATTTCGGCGCGGGATTTGTACTGACTGGTTGTTGCTCGACTTTGTTCTTATTGGGTTGCTTCGAAGGCAAACTCGGTTGGTTATTCGGCCGGAAACCACTGCGACGACGCGTGGTGGGTGATTCGGTCGTCGTTGTCGGTGGGCTTCGATTTCTGAAAATGTTTTAGAAAATGTTTAATTTCAAACATTTAATTTGATTAATTTCAATCAATCTGTTTAGTTTAAAGATCAAATGAATATCGATTTTTGTTTGCATTTTGAATAG